ATATCTTTATATATATATATATATATATATATTATTCATCAAAACCAGTGAAAAAAAATTCACTTTATTCTTTCGTTCCTATTTTTATTTATCCAAATAACATGACTTTTTATATTATTTTTTCTCTATTTATATCATTCTTATTATTATTTTTTATTTTACTCCTCATCCAAACAATATATAGGTTAAAATGTAGACTTATTTAAATATATTAGGCAGTGAGCCAGTGCATATGCACAATAAATTAAAAATAAAAAAGAGAAAGTATAGTAACAAAAAAAAAAAACCAACAACCATGTATTCAGTGGTCGAAAATTTTGGCAATAGGTATCCAAACAATTGTAAATAACTTTTGTATCTAATAATAAAAGACAAAATTTACGCAACTTATCATAATAGTTGTTCTTTTGTGAATAGGAATTTCACCTTTGTTAACTTGAATGCAAATATCGGTTACATATTTACGTATATTATTGAGTTGACTTTAATTTTAATATGAAAAAATCATATTTAAATATATTTCTTTAGATATAATTAGTGTTATTTTTTTGATTAAAATTGAAATTTTATTTTGATAGTGTACATTTATTTCTAATGTATATTTAATATATTTTTACAAGATTAAATTTTAATTTTAATTAAAAAATAATACTAATTATACCTAAACAACAGTACTTAAATTTGTAAAAGAAAAAAAAATTATAGCATAACTTAAGTAACTCACTTACCTTTAAAATAAAAATATCGAAAGAAAAGTAGTTGAAAATTAATTTTATAAAATAAATATTGGCAGCGGTGACTGAATATCACCAAACAGGGTGTTAATTCAATCTCAACGGTACTCTGCAACAGTGTAGAAAACGCTTTTTGAGGGCAATATGGTAATCTGAAGCAAATAACGTCGATTTCCAAAGACAAGTGATATGTCTGATAGCGTCACTGCGTTACAGTTTGTCAAAGTTTAGCGAAATCCCCGTTATGCCCTCCTTGTTTCCCCATAATTCCTTGATATTTGCGTATGAAGAATATGAAGGTTGATGGTCCCTGCTGCTATGAGTTGGTATCCAAACAAAGTACATACAACCTTGGATCCTGTCTCGCACCCACTTCCCTCTTTGTCTTTGGAAGCCATTGAAGCTCTTCTTCTCAACCCCATTTCTAAGTTTTTTTTTTGCAACTTACCCTTTTTTCTTTTTTGGCCCTGAAGCCTGTTTTTCAAGCAAAGCTTGCTTTTTTCTGTCACCAAAGACTAACCCCATTTTAGGATTTTGCTTTTTCCTTTTTGGGTATGGGAGTTTAGCTTCACTGTAGAGACTCATGTGTGATCCCTGAGAAAAGAAAACCCTGTTGCTGATTTGGTTTGGTCTCTCTCACAATGAACTCTTCTACAAGGTTGGATTCAGCTGTGTTTCAGCTCACACCAACTAGAACCAGGTAGTTATAGTGTTACCCCATTCATCAATGTGTTTTTATCATTTTATTTATTTATTTTTTTTTCTTCCATTTGTGGCATTTCTCACTCCAAATAGGGAAACAAGTACTGCGGAATAGGTTTGTTGATTTTGTTTTTTTTCTTTAACCACTTGGGATATTTGACAGTCCTATTAAAATGGAGATGAATTGTTGACTGATGACTACCTTTTAAGAAGTAATAATAATAATTTAGAGGACTGTCATTAGTTGAGGATTCAGTTCAGTTTTACTCTCAAGTTTGTTGAAATGATTGGAGCCAACGTGATTTTTTGATTTTGCAACTAGAGTGTGTTATTTATCTTCCAGCTGTTTATAAATTTTGTATCTGATATTAGCACTTTCATCAGTTTAAATTGGTGGTTAACTTGTATTGTGATCACAATTGAAGTTCTTTGGGTATTACAGTGCTGTTGCTCATAAGATTCACTACTAGAACTTGAGTTTAAGAATTGTGCAGCTACTGAGTGAGTGTAGTTTTTAGTTGTGATTTTTAGGTCACTAATTGATCTATGCAAAAGTTCATTCATATCAAAACAATGATTTTATGTATTTGCTTCCTGACTTGTTGCTTTGGTTTTTTATCCTCAAATCAGGTTTGACTTGGTTATAACTGTGAATGGAAAGAAGGAGAAAGTTGCATCAGGATTGCTCAACCCATTTCTATCCCACTTGAAGGCCGCTCAAGATCAAATAGCTAAGGGTGGTTATTCAATTGTTCTTGTGCCCGAGCATGGCAGTGATACCTCATGGTTTACCAAGGGAACAGTTGAAAGGTGTGGCTTGTTATCATATTTATCCTTTGTTAATTATTCATATCGCCATATCTTGGAATTTGAATTGACATTGATCTTTCATTTAAATATGTGCATTCAAGGTTATCATTTCTTCCGGTATGCAAAATGGATCTAGTATGCCGTTTTGGAAGTCTTGTTTTTGGTGTTATATTTAGACCAAAATTTCTTTTATATTTCTTGCTTTTTTACTCTTTCAAAAGCAGAGGGAAGTACTGGGGAAATGGCATTGGAAGTTAAACAAATAGGTTAACTGGCTTGTAACTCTAAAGTTGGAGACTTAAAGTTTGTCCTCTTACAAATGATTCTAGTGGCATTTAATTTCAGAAAAATTAGCATGCTGAACTAATTTCCTTTGCTTCTGTAGGTTTGTTCGCTTTGTGAGCACTCCTGAGATATTGGAACGTGTGTATACTATAGAATCTGAAATCGCCCAAATTGAAGAGGCAATTGCAATTCAAGGAAATAATTCTATAGGGATTAGCATTGTAAGTAAATATCTAACAAGTTTTAAATTCAATCACAGCAATTAAATGTTTAAATTAACTTGTATATCTGCAGGTGGAAGAAAACCAAATAAAACATGTGGAAAGAACTGAAGGTAATTTTGAAAGAACAGGTACATCTATTGCAAATTATTAGTGTATAAAAATAAAACTTTTTTAGCTTTTATTCAACAATTATGGATATATTTAAAGCTTAGCTAAAATTTATAATCGTTTGCAACTAAGAAGACTTGGTGCTTTGCTCAGGCAGGAAAACTCAGCAGCAGGAAATGAATGAGGAGAAAGCTATTGTACTTTACAAGGTTAGAAGGTCTTGAATACCCTAATCTTATATTGATTTATTATTTTCTAATCAGTATGTGCGGACATGTGCCAGTCTGATACACAGCCACCTGAAACAAATGGAAGCACAAAATCAGAAGGAAACTCAAAGTAAATTCTAAATCTCTTCAACTTTTTTCCTTCTTTTCTATGACCATCTCTTACATCAAGTAGGAGATTTTTAGTTGATGGTCGTGTATGATTAATATAAAATGTATCAAGTGCCCATGCCCGACCTGGATATCACTTGACGAAATTTTGTTGATATAGCAAATAAAGCAAAGATGTTACCAACGTGGCCAACTGCTATTGCAGTTGCTTTAGGAACCAATTATAAATTGGATAGAAATTATTTTTGGTGTGGACATATTTCTTTTCCATCGCAGAGAACATAGAAATGTCAAGAGTAAAGTAGAAAAGGACTGTTAAAGAACTTATACAAGCTTGACCACCACTTATTATTTACCCCTCAAGAATAATTGGTTACCAACTACAGTATCATCACTTGTTAATATATGCTCATTGTAAGTCACTGCATTTCTTTTTTCCTTTTAAATATAGGCTTATTTAACAGGTATGGGAGTGTTGATGGTCTATTAAAAAATTCTCTGTTAACTTCAATTTTTGAGACAGCTGTTTCTACTTTTTTACTTTAAATTAAAACTTGGTTGATTGGGCTGCTTATTTTCCCTAATTGTACCGGGGCTTTGTAAGTTGGTAACATTTACTAATACATGAATTACCATTTGGAACAGTTGATTCCGTATTGAATTACCTTTGCCCCCTAGTGGAATAAGGCTTTTGTTGTTGTTGTTGCTGTATTGCCATTTAAAACCAATGAATTAATAGTTGCTTTTCTAATAAATTGCATTGTAAAATATACATCATAACCAGCATTCCCTCTGGGGTTTTGAATAGACTAACAAGATAATATGCTATGTTGAAATCTTCAGGTCCTATCTTATCTTTACAGGTACTTTGATTGCGAATATTTTCTCTGGCAAACAATTTAATAAATTTCTCTTATTTGGAATTTTAACCCTCCACCCTAACTTTCCAATTCAACATAAGGACTCCATGTTGAATTTAGTGGAATAAAATGAATACTATACGTAACATATGATGAATGAAGTGACATTGACTGGATTTTTGCTATAAAATTTGGTTACGCTAACATCCATACCTCACTGTGTAGTGTTCATGTGCAAAAGCAGCACTTTTAAGTGTTATATTCTTGAGCTTCTGCTCACTGTGTAAAATTGGTTGTTAACATATGTGCTGTATTGTATTCCCTTCTTTATGTATTGTTTTAGAGTTCAGCTTTTGAAAGTCCTGGAGACACGTAAATCTGTGCTGCAGAAAGAGCAAGGAATGGCATTTGCACGAGCAGTTGCTGCTGGTTTTGACATTGACTACATGCCAGCTTTGATGTCATTTGCTGAATGCTTTGAAGCATCACGCTTGATGTAAGAATAATTTTCTTTCTTAACTATTTCTTACCTTGTTAAATATGGGTTTGTGAGATGTTGGGTTCTTGGCCAATTGGCTGATAACATATATATGTTTTCTAGATGACCTTGCTTGATTCTAATTTTGTCATATTTCAGGGATGCATGTAGAAATTTTATTTCTCTATGGAAAAGAAAGCATGAAAGTGGCCAGTGGCTTGAAATTGAAGCTGCCGAAGTGATGCCTAATTGTGCTGACTTCTCTGCAATAGATGCATCAGGCATTATACTTTCCAATACGGTTACTACATCCCATACTGAATTGGACTCAGAAAGTAACGGGAAAACTAATTCAGGTACCTGACAACTATTGCACATTTTGGACTTGTATATTTATGCATTGTTCATGACTTAGTGCATAGATTTACATTAACCTAGAGGCCATTGAAAGGATTATTATTAGGGTTTCTTGAGTGGATTAAGGACAGAAAATAGATGGAGGAAGACCCATTGGAGAATATATGAGAGCAAGAGTGGTTTGGAAGCTATACTCTTTTATTAGTATTTAGTGGGCTTTAGGAGATTAGGTGATTTAGGTGCTGTGAACAACAGCTGCAAATTTGGGTGCAAAGGGTTTGTCAATTTGATGGGTTCTATGGATAACGGAAGGAACTGAAGGAAGAAATAACTGGTTTTGTTGAAGCAATTTTTAATGCTGTTTGTCATGAATACTAGATCTGACTAAATTAGTAAAATTCCTGATGTTTTTTTTTTTTCTTTCTTTCTCCCTTGAGATGTACTAACATTATTGTTATACATTTATAGATGTGTTTTCAGTGAACAGACAACCAACTGCAGGCTACCAAGATAATGTTCAAGGTCATTTTCCACATAATGGATTTTCCTCTTGGCCTGTCCATTCTCCCCCAGGTGCTTTACCAATGTTGCATCCATATCCAGTGCAAGGGATACCCTACTATCAGACTTATCCAGGAAACAGCCCATTTATGCAGCCCATTCGTTCACCTATGGAGGACTCCAGACTAAATGCTGGTCAAAATATGGGACATAGAAGGCACTCCATGGACAATGGACAAAATACCGAATTCGAAACTCGGGATGAATTGGATATGGAGAGGGAGGGTTCACAGACTGTAGAACGACGGAAGAAGTCTGGCCGAACAGGCAGGCAGAAGTCTGGCATGGTGGTCATTCGGAACATCAATTACATAACAAAGACAGAACATACTTCTGGAAGTGGATCATGTTCAGATTATTCCTCTGAAACTGATGAAGATAAAGATGCTCAGGAATCTGTCAAGACCTCAAAAAGAAGAGAATCCAGTAACAAATCTTTTAAAAGATTGAATTCATCTGAAAAGGAAGTAACAGAATGTGGGAGAGATGCTGATGGAGGACAATGGCTAGCATTCCAAAATTGTTTATTGAAAGGTGTAGATGAAGATAGAAAGGCCATCGACCAGGGCCAGTTTGATCATGTGAGAAGGAAAAAACAGGTTGCAGGCAATGATCCTATAGATTTTACTGAGCGGAATATGCATGAAGTTCAAGGAGGTGGAGCTACAGATGTGCATAGCATTAGCAAGGGATTGTCCCGCATGCCTAGGTCATCCAATGATGATTTCTTATTGTCTAGAAGGTCAGGACAATCTGTTAATGCTAGGTCTGTGGATGATGTGCAGTCTTTAGAAATAGATGGAAGGATTGGTGGTTATAGGAGGGGGGCCAATGATGATTTCGTCATTCTTAAACAAGATAGTCAGTGTGGTAATTTACAACATTCCTCAGATGTAGCAGCTGTCAATGGGCAAGGTTATTCAAGCAATAAATTGGAAAGGAAGTTGTTTCACGACATGAATGATGACTCCTATATAGTTGAAAGTAGGTCAGTCAGAGTCAGTGATTCAGGAAATCTTGAGAGAAATGCTATTGACATGGACTCGGAGTTCCCAAAGGTGCATAGGAACGAAGAAAAAACTTCCAATTATCAGCCACATGAGTTGAGCTTGATGCCTGAACGAGGAGCAGAAAAGGGGTTAATGTTTTATGACCCTGCGTTAGATTATGAAATGCAGGCTCAGGCTGGAGGCAGTGCTTCACAAGATAAAAAGAGCAAGGGTCACATGAAACCAGGGTCTAAGATGTTGGATAAAGATCTGAAATCAAAACCTACTCCAAATAGTTCTGATAGTAAAAAATCTGTTGGGCCTATAAGGAGAGGAAAGACTAGTAAACTGAGTCCATTGGATGAAGCACGGGCACGTGCTGAAAGACTACGGAACTACAAAGTTGATCTCCAGAAAATTAAGAAGGAGAAGGTAATCTATGTTCATATTCCCCTAGCTACACCCTTTTCCGTTTCATGTTTATGTTGCATATGCTTAACATAAAATTGAAGTAAACTTAACATTATTTTTATTTTGTTTACATTTAGATTAATGAAAGATTCATGTTTTCAAGGTCATTCACCTGTTTTACAAATCTATTTATTTCTTCTCTTTTATTTATAATAACTAGGAAGACGAAGAGATGAAACGCCTCAATGCTTTAAAGATGGAGAGGCAAAAGAGAATTGCTGCCAGGAGTAATTCAATTGCTACCAAGTCACCCATTCCATCACAGCTAACCAAGAAACAGATTCCAACGAAACTTACGCCCAGCCCTTATAAAGGATCAAAATTTAGTGATTCAGAGCCAGGTTCATCCTCACCCTTCCCAAGATTTCCCATCAGAACTGCTGTTGGATCCAGTGATTCTTCAAAAGTCAAAAAAATCAGCAGATTGAATACTGGAAGCCATTCAGTTACAAACAAATTAAGCCGATCAGCACCTTCTCTGCCTCAATTCAAGCGAGAGAAGAGCGATGGTACAGCTAATACTAAGGCACCAATGGCAAGACTTAGAAGATTGTCAGAACCTAAAATGAGTACCATTCGTCATACTTCCTCTACCTCCGTTAAACCACAAGGTGCTAGGACAAATTCAGTGACTAAAGCAGCTAATGAGACTGAGATCAGGAAGATTTCTGCTATTGTGAATCATGATAAAAGTATGACTGCAACTCTCCCCGAACTAAAAATCAATACATTCAAAGCAATTGACATCGTCCAAAACAGGTCATCTTTGAATACACCGAAGCTGAATGTTAACAAGTCCTCTTTGAATTCAGAAGGTACCTCACTGAAGAAAAATGAATTTGGAATTACGCCAAATGATGATGGAGATGACAATCCTATAATTGAGAAGACTGTTGTAATGCTTGAGCGTGAGAAACCTCGTGCCCCCAATATTAATGATAAGTCTAAAGAAAAAAAAGGGATACCAAAGAGACAGTATGACAGTGAGAAACTGATGGAGAAAACTGAGACTGTGTCGAGTTATGTTGCTTTTTGTGCACCAGTTTCAGTAGATATAGAAATCTCGGAGAACAAATCACATGTGAAACCCATATCGTCCAAGGTGTGTTTTCATAAATTTATTAATAATTAACTGTCATGACTGTAATCAGTATGCATAAAAGAATAAAAAGTGTGAACATGATCATGAATTATTTATGAACATTCTGCCTGTCTGATAGCTTATTATATTTTAAATAAATTAACACTAAATATGAAATGTTGCAATCAACTTGGCCTTCCAGTTTCATTTTATTGTGTAAGGCTTGAAACTGCAGCTAATATGTTTCCTATAATTTATGCTTGGTGAAGCACGAGCATGCACTGCCAACTTTACATCCGTATTGTAAATTGTGAAAGTATGGCATTATAACATAGCATCAAAAGCTGATACACATTCTTAAAATTTTGCTTTTCCACAAATTCTTATTTGTATTCCGACATTTTGTGGGGGAAGAGAAGTCTATGTTCAATTCTATGATTAGGAGAAATTTGCCAATATTTGACTTTTAATTTCAGGAATGATATTTTATTTTAGACCTGTAACTGAATGAGCAAGCAAATGTTAATCTGATTTGTTGTTATTGTCATGCACTCATACCTGTTGTTTGTGAATGAGTACCATTCGTTATACTTCCTGCGTTCTTTATCTGAATTCTACAAGCATGAGAGAAATTCTTATACATCAGTTAATTTTTTTTGTATATATTCTTCCAAAATCAGGTTAAAGCAAATGATACAGAGAAAGAACCTTCAAAATCGTCTAGCATTCATATTACTGAGGAAACATATCATACCACACATGCTCGAGTTTCTTCCTTGGAAGATCGTTGCACACGAAACTCTGAGTACAGTAAAGCACCTCCCACAAGCTTGGACAGTGCATCAATTGGTATGGAAACTTTTAAATCACGCGTGTCTGAATCCAGAAACTCAACACTTGAGAAGATTCCCGAGGTGATTGAGAAACCTCAGGTAAAGGAATCATCTAAAGGGTTGAAACGGCTGTTAAAGTTTGGAAGGAAGAGTCATGACTCGCCTACTGGTGGATGCAACATGGAATCAGATAATGCTAGTATTGACGGTTCTGAAGCAAATGATATTGGAACTAATGGTTCCTCTAATGAAGGTAACATGATCCTTAGGCAACAAACATATTACTATATCATATATTAGGAATTGCATTTCACTTCTTAGATATATGGTGCACTTTCACTTCTATATGACCTCATTTTTAAGATAATATTTTTGTTACTTGATACCATGACCCATGCAGCACTCAGCTGCAGTTCATACCAATTTAGTTTAAAGCTGAAAATGCCAAACACCACTTTGATGTGTCTTTCAAGGACTAAACTGTGAAGTCCAAACCCATTAGTTCAAAGCTGACAGTACCTAAATGTGTTCAGGAACCTTCCTCCCACAAAATTCAACATTGAGATGCACTCTCCTTTCCTTTCTCATTTTTAGTCCTTTAAAGGCCATAAAAAAGTGAAATATAGAACATTTTTGGTAACATCAAGCTATAGCTTTGAAGCTCCAAGATTAACATTCAGTATAGCATCTAGTAAAATAATTTTTTTGAATAATAATATAAAATAAAAGTATATGCTTAATGTATTCTCATGACATGTGCATTTACCTAAACTACATTGCATGAAGGTTAAGCCAACATCATTTCTGTTGCTGTCATGGATTGCCATATTGATCTGGTGTTGACTTTACTTGCACCAAACATTCAGAAAGGATTTGCTTTCTCAATATTAAAAACTGCAAGTTATTTGAGTTAGTAAAATGAACATAAATATCTAAGACTGAAAGAGAGTTAATCATTGCGTAAAAACACAGGTCTAGTAATTTGCATTTGGCATGTTTTCTGTTTTCATTTTCAGCGGATATATTTTTACTGACAATTACAAAAATGCCACATTGTTTTCATTTTGTTTTCTATTTTCTCAGATTGGCATAGGAAACGGTGAAAACATTTTATTTGTTTTCATCACCTCCATTGTTCTTGAAAACACTGAAAAAAAGTGAAAATTCTCAGTGGAAATATATTAACTGAAGATGAAAAAAAAAAAAAAACACAACCCAAACTGTTCTTTTTTAAAAAAAAAAGACATAATCATCTAGATATTTTACTAGAAAATTATAGCTTTTGCTTTGTCTCTTCATATATTTATCCTTGCTCCTTTTAATAAATGTCTTGTGAATATTATTGTCATGTGACAATTTGAAAGGTCAAACCATATTGAATTTGGATCTTGTTTAAATACAAGTTAGGAATATTTTTTAGAGCTTCTTTACTGAAAATAAAGAGTTATTTCCAACAGCAAAGTTCTCGAAAACATTTTTAAGTTTGTATTTAAACAAACTTTTTAATTGAACATGAGTGATAGACTCAAGCTAACCATCATATTGGGATTTGCTGTGTCTTAGTTCATACTCTGAAGAATTTAATCTCAAGAAATGAAGCTCCCTCAAACAGTGCAACTCCTCCGAAGTGTAAGCACTTGCTCAACTTAAAGTGAACATGAATAACTTCTACTTTATTTTATCATATATTCTGAATATGGACATGTTTAACATATCATTCTTATGCAGCTTCTCGCTCTTTCTCCTTGTTATCGCCGTTTCGAAGCAACAAAGGAAAAAAGATAATGATGGCATGACAGAACTTATGCTGTTTGAGGTTGACACAGTGACCATTTACTTGATTCTTTTCATTTTTTTCCTTTTATGGGGGGGGGCCTTAATGGTCCTGTGTTATGGTCTAGCTGAGAATAATTTGGTGTTGGAATGATCCACCTCTTAACCAGAAGCAATTTTAGGCCATCTTTTTGACAGCCCTTGAGTTTCAAACCCCTCACTTTTATTGGAAATCTGGATGGGGAGATAGATTCTGAATCCTTGAGGAATTGGTTGGTTCAGC